GTAGGACCTGAAGAGCCCTTCTTTTTTTTTTTTTTTAAATGTTTATTTATTATTGAGACAGTGAAACACAGCATGAGTGGAGGAGGGGCAGAGAGAGAAGGAGATACAGAATCTGAAGCAGGTTCCAGGCTCCGAGCTGTCAGCACAGAGCCCAACATGGGGCTCGAACCCACGAACCATGAGATCATGACCTGAGCCGAAGTCGGACGCTGAACCGACAGAGCCACCCAGGCACCCCATGAAGAGCCCTTCTTGCTTCTCTTGTCTCAGAGTCTGCTGCCCTGGAGGCTTTCTTAAGAGTTTGAAAAGTTCTTTCCCTTTCCAAGTCCTGAATGACTGTGAAATAGTCATTCATTCATAAGGGTGCTTGCTCTTCTCAAGTTCCTGTTTTTCTGATTTTCAGGATAAAGATCACTGGGAACATTCCTGATTGTCTCCCTGCCAGGGCGTCAGCCTCCTCATCTAACCAGTGACAGCAGGAATCTTTTCTCATGCCGCCTGACCCTCTAGAGGGTGATTAGAGGGATTATTAGTCTGTGTACCTGCCTTGGAGCCACCACTCCCTATATGTAAGGGTGAGTCTCACCTGTGGAGTGAAATGATTCGATAACACCAGGAAAGACTTAATAATGCCAATTAGCAGCGGAGGCGACACATCCTACAGATCAGAAATAAGGAGGATGTTCCAAAGGGCTTTGGGAAGCTTGTATGAGAATTTGGGGGCTTTGGGCATCGTCCTCATCTGTAGCTGCCTTGGGGTGGAGAAAAAGACAGACATGAACAGAGAGACAGCCAGGCCAGGCGCAACAAAGCTGTGTCTGCTCTTTATGATATGACAGAAATTGCTGTGGGATCACAGACTGCTATTTGTGGAACATGCTTTCTTTTTTTTTTGTTTTTTAAAGCTGTTTATATTTTCTGTAATTAGGTCCTTTTTGTTCTCTCAGTGTTTGGTACATTTTTTAAATGCTAGTCTGGTCAGCTGTGCTAAGAGGAACCAAGAAAGAGGTTTTTGTCCAGCTTGGACCAGAGTTTTAAAGGAGAAGCAGCTTACCCACCGCCTGACATAGTTGAAACAATGGAGTCATGTTGCCTGAGTGAGAGAGCCTCGGAGGGAAGGTAAACGGGGCACTGGAGTTGGAAAAACTTGTTCAGAGACTGTCGCCACACCGAGATGTATTTATCAAACCTGGGTCCATCTTTCCATCCATGTAGTCTGTGACTCTTTCAGTGACCCAGAAAAGAGGCAAAAAAAGACCTCAATGAACAATGAGAAGGAAGAGGGCACTGGGATTGGTGGCCCAGGGCTGTGGTGGGTGTTAGCTATGGAGTTTGCCCTCAAGAACAGAACCAGCAAACAGAAAATCCAGTCTTAGCTAGGATAGGAGGAAGGAAGGGTTCAATTTGAGCATGAAGTGCTGAGAGCCAAATAGGAAGGAAGTTTACCAGATCTTTTTTCTAGTTATAAGGGAGAAGATGCCTGCCATCTGCAGAGGACCCCAACCATTGCCTAGGAAGGGGACGAGCAAGGGTGAGTGGGCTGGCATGGTCTTTGAAGCAAAGTAGGGCACAGGGACAGCTAAGGTAGACAGCTGGCATCTAGAGTGGGGGGCGGGCATGACAGAGCATTCCCTTGGCAGGATCAGGGGTGGGGAAACGCTACTGATTATGGGCACTCAAAGACCAAGACCGGGGATCACCCAAGCACTGTGGCCCCCAGGCTTGGAAGAGTTTAATCATTCCAGACCCCACCCCCAACCCCAGGCCTGGTTCTCAGGGGCTGCTGCTCAAAGACCTTTGGTAGCTGCAGCTGGGTAGAGCTGGGAGTGGGCACCACTGTCATTGTCAGTGCCCCAGGTTCAGGTCTCTTCCAGTCATCTAAGGCTGAGTAATACATGAGGATAAACCTTAGAGGATTAAAACAACAATCCTTTATTTTGCATTTCAGGCAGGGCAAGGCAGGGACCACTGAGCTCTATATGTCCAGGGTCGATGACTCAAATGGCTGGGTACCGCAGGGGGCTGGCTGGGCATCTCTCTTCCTGCAGGCTCAGACCATCTCCCTCTGGTCTCTCTTGTGTTCTCTCCAGCATGTTCTCAGGGTAGCTAGACCTAATGGTGGCTCAGGGCTCTAAGAGCAACAACTTCCAGATGCCCAGGGGGAAAGAGATTACAAGGCATTTTTTTTTAATTTGGTTTCAGAAGGTCCAGGATATGTGATTTCTACCATATTCTATTGGTTTAACAAATCCGGCCCAAATTCAAAATTAAAAAATAAAGACCCCACCTCATAATTGAAATGTCAGAGAATGTGCCATCATTTTTAACGCATTGCACTAAGTCCTTAACAAAGTCCCCCAGTGAACTCCCTGTCTGCAGATTCTCATTGGTGGCAGCTGGGAGACAGCAATGCACAGGGTAGGAAAAGCAGGGGCTTTGGAGGATACCAGACAGGGATTCTTGTCTAGGCAGGATCTACCATTCAGCAACTAGTTGAGCTTGTTAGGTGACTTACCTTTCAGAGCCATGGTTGTCTTGTGTGTCACATGCGAATAATAATATGATAGTACCAAGAAAACATACTTCTCAGATCTTCCAGTGCAGAACATAACTGATCAACAGATCTGTCTGAGAGGCTGAGATCTGAAATCTGTCCTCTGATATTCATCCCCAGCTTGGTGCAGAAGCCATTTTCCCGGGGCTGCTCCTACCCCATGACTAAGTACAAGAGGTCTCTTTCTGGGAGATGCTGGACTTCTGGGACATGCCGGTTTAGCTTGAGGACCCCATACAGCCTTGCAGAACTCTCTTAGAGCTGCACTGTAGTAATAGAAGCTTCCTTCCACTCAGCCTTCCTTGCCTCTTTACATAGGTCACACCTATATCCTGGGTCCAGCTCCCTGGGGATGTTCCCTCCTCAGTCACTTGCAGAGTGCTCCTGTCTGGCACTGCTTTGGGGTGGGGGGAAGCAGAATGAGACAGCCACCCAGTCACAAGGTTGCTGTGAGTTGATATAAATGGGTGTATGTGAGCACCTAATCAAAGGCTGGCATATAGTTGACATTCATTTAAGTATTCATTCATTCACTCATTCATTCACTCATTCATTCGAGTCCTGCTGTGTGCAGGCTTTAGCCTGTGTGCCTGGAACATAATGGTGAGCAAAACAAATAGGAACAATGTCACAGCCACCTGCTTGAGGCTTCTTACTGAGTCTCACTGCTGAGGGATAAAGTCCCAACTCTTCTATGGGACACAAAGAGCCTTTCAAAGTCTGGCCCTGCAGGCGTTCAGCCTCTGCAAGCCTATGGTTGACCCGGAGAGTGAGGGTTGGAGTCAGCGAAGAAGACACGGAGCCAGCCTCTTCAGGTGGACTGCTCAAATTTATTTTTCAGTTTAGGATTTTTATAGCATATCCAATCAATCATGCTTAAACAATCTACATTTTTAGAAAGTAGTCATGGTACTTAACATTTCTAAGTTTTCTTGGCAACAGTGATTTCACAGTACATGATTTCCACTTAAACCAATAAAATTTAACCAGGTAGTCATAACAAAGTTCTACATATTCTTTACTACCTATGGCAGGGTATCTAAGGATAAGTGAAGCATATAGCCAGAATACATGAGAACACAGTACCCTTTAATTGTTTAAGTTTAGTGGGCAAGCAAGAACAGGATTTACTTGTACCCGTGGTTATAGATGATAGACTTTCACATCCCCTTACTAAGAAAGATCAATATCAACATTTACCATAGAGGACATGTGGAATTGTTTTACATGGATCAACTAGAGTTTGGTCTCTGCATTTACAGGTCTCATTCTTTGGCCAGAACAATCCGTAAGTTGCCTCACAGGCTCGAGACCAGGGGCAACAGGCAAATATTTCTCTAACACTTTTCCAAGAAATTCCTCTAAAACTAATAAGTTTTGTTTTGTCTCTGCTTAAAGCATAAGATGTAGTATTGTTGGCAATTAGACCCCTACAAGGAAAATGAGTTCCAGGTCTCTTATAGACCCCATGCATACCAGACTGTCCCCAATTTTGCCAGCTACTACCATAAGTATAAGACAACATCCTATTGAGGCGACGAGCATGATATTTAGGTACACTCCATTCTGGAGGAAGAGGGGGAACTTTAGGCAATTCTGGTTTCATATTAACCCTAAAATAGACTAACAGCGGAGGTGACAGTAAAAGGCACAGACTAAGCAGAGAAGAATTCTTCAGGGGGTTCTTCTGACTGCCTTGAAGTCTATACCACAGGTTTTTCCCTGGGCCTTGCCATCAGGGATGACCTGCGCAGTCCTTTCCCACAGGTTTTTCCCTGGGCCTAGCCATCAGGGATGACCCATGCAGTGCAGCTTCTGTCTCAGGCATGGCCCTAAGGGACCTCAGCACCTCCCACTCTGCTACTCTGCACACCTGAACCTAGACTCAAAAGGAAGTTCCTTCTTTCCTCCTTCAATCTTGCTCTTTCACCCCCAATGTCTTAGCACACTTTTTTCCTCTCCTTGAAATACCTCTCACACCCTTGCACACACCCGTCACATGAAAAACCTTTACACATCCCCCAAATCCAGTTCAGTCGTGGGATCCTAGGTCACCCCGGGGCAGAACATGCTTGCGGGCACAGATCTCAGCACGCACCGATGACTTACTGTAAGTGTCCCTGCTAACTGGTGAGCACGTCTAGAGCAGGGGCAATGTGGTATCCACCCCGAACCCCCAGAGTTTGGCACTTGGTAGGCCCGCAGTTCACATCTGCGAAGCGGCTGAGCGAATGGCCCGGGGAGTCCAGGCGATTTTCTGGGGTGACCCGGGTGGGCCTGCGTCGAGGAGGAGGGGGCGCATCTGGGCTCGGTGGCGGTCGGTGAGACCCGCAGGCGCTGGGGGGCCGTCCGGGACGCGCGCCGCTCGCTCGGGCCGAATCGCGGCGGCCGCCGCGGGGCACATGACTGCGGGCTCAGCCTCCGCCCCGCCCGCTTCCCCGCGCAGCTGCGGGCCGTCGCCTCCCCGGGCTGCGGCGAGCCGGGCCGGCGAGCGTCACCGCCCTGCGCGCTCCCTCTCTCGCTCCTGACTGCGCGGGGCCGGCGTGCGACTGCCGGAGCGAGGGAAACCGAAACCGAAGCGGGTCGTTCCCCTCCCCGGGCCGCCAGGCAGGCGCACGGGAGCCGGGAGCCCGCAGCCGCGGAGCCGGGAGCCGCGCGCAGAGCCGGGACCGCGGGCGCCGCAATCGCGGGTGTTCAGGCCGCTGCAGCGGCGGCCCCTCCCTCCTTCCTGTCGAGTCGCGGGGCGGCGGGGCCCGGCTCGCTAGCGGCGAGCACAATGGGCAGGTGCTGCTTCTACACGGTCGGGACGCTGTCCCTGCTCCTGCTGGTGACCAGCGTCACGCTGCTGGTGGCCCGAGTTTTCCAGAAGGCCGTGGAGCAGACCATCGAGAAGGTGAAGCGGGCGAGCCGTGTGTGTGTGTGTGTGTGTGTGTGTGTGTGTGTGTGTACGCGCGCGCGCGCTCCCGCGTTGGGAGGGGGATACTTCCAGCCCACCCTCCGACTGCTGTACCTCCTGCAAAGAGCATCTGCACCCCGGCAGACCTTCCGCACCAGAGCCCTCCTTTCTTACTTGTCTTCTTGAGGTTGGGAGGGGAGGGTTAGAGAAGGATGGGGAAGAATAATAGGATATGACTATGGGTCTAGACTTTTTTTTTTTTTTTAAGCTTTCACTTACATTCTATCCTTTGCATCCCCTTCCACGCCCCTCCCTACACCCCAGTCTCAGCTCGGCCCAAACATATTTCCCACCCACTTCATGAAAAAACAAAACTAAATGAAAAACACCACAGCCCAGGCAGGTTTGTTGGCTGCTTGCTGCAGCCTTTGAAGTGGTGTAGGGCTGAGAGTGAGCAGCGGGTGTGCGGTCTATTGTGTTCTTGGTTTCCTGGCAGGGCAGTCACTAGAGAGGCCAGGCCTTTGGGCTGTGTAAAGCCTCTGCAGGCTACCTTCCAGCTGAGCATGTGGCATCTTGTACCCATCCTCTGTGTTGCTTTGTCTCCCCATGGATTCTCGTTCTTCTTAAGGAACCATCAGCTTCAGGCAAAGATGCATGTAGGTTTTTGAAGGAATCTGAACCTGTCTGTTAGCCTAGATGAGTGGCCTGGAGAGCTGGTCATTTCAGAAGACATGTGGGTCATTTGACTTTTCCAGCGCTCATTCCTTCTGCCCTTCAATACACATCCACTAATCTGTGTGGAAAGAGGAACAAGAGAGAGTTACTGGGATCACTTTTTCTTTAAAAAAAAAAAAAAAAAAGTCATCGAAGCAGCCTTTCTTGTAACCACAAGTTTAATTTCTCTCACCGGTTTTGACTTGCTGTTGGCTGGATAAAAAAAAAACCGGTTTGATCACTGACCTCCCCTGTCAGTCAAGTTGTGTCAACCAGATGGCAACAGACATGTTCCTTTAACAGAGGTCTTGAAAAGCCGTCAATTACTTGACATCTGGCAGTTTAAGGCAAATTTTAAAAAGTCATGGTAAATCATAATTTAATTTTAAAGTTCATATTAAGGGAACATTAAGTTCACAGTTTTTATTAAAGTTTATGTATTTTCAGGAAGAGAGAGAATTCCAAGCAGGCCCCATGCTCTCAGCACAGAGCCCCACGTGAGGCTTGATCCCATGAAATGTGAGATCATGACCTGAGCCGAAATTAAGAGTCAGACACTTAACCAACTGAGCCACCCTGTTACCCCTAAGTTCACATTATTAAGGGAAGATGAAGCCCACTGACTGAGCTTCTCAAAGACCACTGTTTTCCCTGAATACCCACCCATGAAGGAAAAAACTAAATGGAATCTTTTCTACTCTCAGCCACCTGCAAATCCATGGCAAGATTGCTTAAGGATATAAACTCTTGCCTGGATGACCAGAGGTAAGCAGTGCAATTATAGTCTGTATGTGAATCTTCTTGTGTGGCTTTAAAAGGCTGTTTCAAGAGAGCCCTATAAGAGGAGAGATCTCCCTGGTGCCTCGGACGTTACCAGCCCTCAAATGCTCTCTGGGTCTTCATTTCATGGGCAGGTAGGGAGGTGGCTGTAAGGCAGCTTGCCTGCGCCTTGAGTTTGCACTGATATTTGGTGATTGGCTTCCTTATGTGGTTTTCTGTATGAGGAATGGACTCCGATCAGACTAATAAATCATAGTACAGAGGAAGTGGATTTTCAGAATTGCCCAACCCCATTAAGGAACACTGTACAATATGGCGTATGCAATTAAATAACAGGGCTGGTTTCAGGGGACAGGACTATTGCCAAGTCAGCCAGAGGTCACGCATTACTATCATTACCATTCTGTTCTCCCGGGTCACCTGCAGTGTGGTAGTCTGGTATAGTGGGACAGAGTAAGGACTCTGCAGTCTATACCCCTAGACATCAATCTTTGCTCCACCATGTTCTAGCTGCGTGACCTTGGGCTAGGTTTCCTGATTCTGGGTTTCCCCATTAGTAAATGAGGATAATAACAACTCATGAGAGGCTGTAAGACTTATTAGGGAAAATGGGTAGTTTTCATGGGATATCTTTAGTGCTTTGTAAGTCAGTTTTATTTTTGTTAGGAACAAAGGAAAAATACATGAGATTTGAAGTCAGACATCCTGTATCCAAATCCTGACCGAGCCTTTTGTAGGCTTTTTGGTTCTGGGCAAGTTACTGAAGTACTCTGAGCCTCGATTGCATTCCTTGGGAAGTAAGGAAGTTAGCTATCTTAGGTATATTTACCATGAAGGCCCTTCCAACACCCTCTACCTAATTCTGTATCCCAAATTTTCTCTTCCTTAGGAAGGGTCTCCTCACACTGTATAAGCTTCCCACAAACCCTGGACCTGCCTCTGTGTGAGCTGTTGTGAGACTGAGGGAGGTAATCTGTGTAAAGCACCCAGCAGTCTCAGGCAGAGGATAAGTGATCAGTTATGGCTGTTGTCATTCTTTCCATTTGTATCATGATGAGACGATGTCTTCATAACTTGACCTTAATAAAGTTATAATGTAATCCACCCTGATACTCCCAGTTCTTAGTTTTGTTTTGTTTTTTTCATTTGAAGATTTTCCATGCCCTAGCTTGTCTATCAAAAAAAAAAAAAAAAAGAAGAGAGGAAAGGGGAGAAATTCAAATGAATAGGTTTGGCTAATTATGAGAAGCAAAGTGACATAATCCCTATTAGATAGATTTGCAGGGAGATTTTAAGATTAAAAGGAGATTTAAATTTGGGCCAGTGAATGGAGTGGAAGGAACCAAGACAATTTGATTCTTTTTTTTTTTTTTTAGAGAGAGAGAACGATTCAGGGGAAAGGAGCAGAGGGAAAGAGAGAGAGAATCTTAAGCAGGCTCCATGCTCATGGAGCCTGACGCAGGACTCAATCCCATGACCCTGGATTCATGACCTGGGCCAGAATTGGCAGTTGGACGCTCAACCCACTGAACCACCCAGGTGCCTCTGGCTCCATTCTTGGCCCCACTGGTTACCGTCTTGTATTGAGCAAGTCCTGTAATTGTCTCTGCTTTAGTTTTCTCAATTGCAAAACAGGCACAGTAACATCTCCCTCCCTCCTTGTCTGTTCACACCCACTACTTAGAGGATATTCTGATCAGGCCTTCTCCCTCAAGCATTTTGATTTCCTGAAGACAGAGCTTTGAAAAACCCATTTAACCTCTTTTTCCTCCTTGGAACCCAGAAGGGCAGAAGTTTATGTTCTGTCTCCTTTGGTGACCCCACTCATTGTCATGGCGCCCGGCACATGCCGGTAGGTACACAAGTTGCCTCACATTTGATCATTGTAGTTGAAAGAGTAGTATTCTAGGAATCAGCAGAACTTGGCTAAAATTCTTTTTTTCTGTCATTATGAAATACTTGGATGAAGTTGAGCAAGCCCAGTAGAGAACATTCAACCCCTCGAAACCTCGGGTTTCTCGTTTTGAAAATGGGAGTAATAAGAAAACCTGCCTTAGAGTTGTTGCCAAGAGCAAAGTCAAAGGATTGCTGTAAAAAAAGCACCTTGCATAGCGCCCAGATAGTAGCATTTGTTATTGTTTTTAGCTGTCATTTTCTCATCTGTGAACTGAAGCTTATGTAGTAGATAAATTTCCTTCTAGCTCTGGACTTCTGAGATTCTGTGCCACAGGCGTGTGAGTTTTGCTTAATAACAACTTTGCAGCTCAGAATATTAAGTTTGCCCTTAGACTCACTGAGTGAACATCTCACAGAAATGGAAACGTGGAGCCAGCCAAAGTCAGGGCTGGTGAAGAAGCAGTGGGCTGGCAAGGGAACCAGTGAGAAGGAAAGAAACTGTCCACATGTTTTCCTTCCTGTGCCTGGGCCAAGGAAGGGTGAGCGCATTAGGTGTCAGGGATGAGATGAACGGGACAAATATACTTATCCTTGGCTGGGACCTGAGTGAGACTCTGGATAAGAAGGATCAGCTAGCCTCCTTTAGGAGCCATATAATTTGGGAGCCATTGTGCTGATACCTCACGAAATGAAAGATAATCACCGATAAATTAACCAAATAACATTAAAGGTGAATATGTGGGTGTCTTCTTTTCTAAAACTGAATTAGTTAAATATCTTCACATATGATTATGTAAAGACAACTATATACAATCTTAAAAAGATCCTTCTTGCATCTCCTGAATTGTCTCTTTTCAGGGATATGATGACTTAGAACATTAGAATAAGAAAAAACTTTAAGCATCACTTAATCTGTTATCTTATAGTCAAGGACCTGAGCCTATGTTTTCTTTTTTTTTTTTTTAATTTGTTTAGAGAAAGAGAGAGAGAGAGAGCAGGGAAGGGGCAGAGAGAGAGAGAAAGAGAGGGAGAGAGAGAGCATGAGCAGGGGAGGAGCAGAGAGAGGGAGAGAGAGAGAGAATCCCAAACAGGCTTCTCACTCTCAGTGCAGAGCCTGACTCCGGAATTGAAATGATGAACCATGAGATCATGACCTGAGCCAGTATCAAGAGTTGGACGTTCAACTGACTGAGCTACCTGGGCAACCTGAGCCTATGTTGGTTTTTTTTTTTTTTTTAATGTTTTATTTATTTCTAGGAGAGAGAGAGAGAGAGACAGCGTGAGCAGGGGAGGGTCAGAGAGAGAGGGAGTCACAGACTGAAACAGGCTCCAGGCTCTGAGCTGGCAGTCAGCACAGAGCCCGACGCGGGGCTCGAACCCACGAACCGCGAGATCATGACCTAAGCGAAAGTCGGACGCTTAACCGACTAAGCCACCCAGGCGCCCCGCCTATGTTGGTTTTTAAATATGATGGTGTGTATCAAATTGCCTTTATATTTATGTGCCACTGGAAATGTAAATCACTGACTTACCAGAGACTGGATGGAGAGGTAGGGGCAGGGTTAGGCATGCAAGCTGGGTCTCCTATATTATTTTCCCCACCCCAA